CGTGTGAGCCATGATGAAGTTTGAAGGTACATGTAAACCATGAGAATACACTTATGTTTAGAATCTGAAAGAGACGAAGAATCTGACACTCCAAGGACATATTTAAGGCAAGAGAGCGAGAAGTCGCGAGTAACATACCTAACAAACTTGTGTAAATGGTTAGCAGAGCAGAGTGTAGAAGAGATAACAAAAATCTTGCTCAGAGCTACAAAGGACAGGAAGTTATGGAGAGCCACTGACGTACATTGAAGAAGAATAAGTATAATTATAAATGGATCATACGACCACAACCTCCCCATGCCTGGATTTATGTGGTTTATGTAACAAATAGATTTTTACGGAGTGAATTTGCTAGCCACGCGCAAAATGTTGTTTCGAATTTAGATTTCTCCTTCACCAAGAATGGTTTCTAAGGTGACATAGCTCAGTCTGGCGAAGATGATATGGATTCTTACCTTCTCAAATATATTTGTATGAAAGCGAATGCAATTGCCTCAACTGGAACGTGAACCCGGGACGCCAATCCCACTTTTCACGCGTGTCCTTTAGAAAGTACAATACCTGTGTCTATGTTTTTAAACAGTTCACCCAAAGCAAGGTGATAAGGCGTTACTGGGACCTTTTCCTTATTCCGTGGCCCATCAGGGTCTTAGAGGTACCATGTGTACAACATCCGCAGTAGAAGTGGTGTTTCTTGGGCAAGATAGCCTGACGGAGCCTAAATCTCTCCAGGCCGATTTTGAATTCAGAGTTTTTCCTTCTGCCACTCAAGGTTATAAAACCCAGTCTGTCCTATTATTTTACCCATAGCTGGGGAAGGGAAGAGGAGGATTCATATCTTTCCCAAAGGTATTAGCATAATAGTATTGAATGTAATGGATCCGACTGAAATTCGAACTCGGCTCTCCAATTTCTCAATCCGAGCCACTCTCCATTATTCTACCATGTCTCCCCCTAAAAAGACTTTAGGGGGAACTGGAAACTCAATTCTAAAGAAAAAAGAAGTGATAAACATCTACATATGTCCAAAATACTGTGGAGGAGTTTGAACCGGACGATAGGTGAACTTATCTACCCCTATTGAAAGTAAAAATAAATAAATAGTAAATAAAATGTCAGTGTTTAAACGAAGAGGTTAGAAGTATAGAGCTAAAAGACGCGGAAACCCAATACTAGACAGGAAACAAGAGATAAATATGTCCAAAAGACAAAGGAGGATTTCTTAAATATATTGACAGCTGATGAAAAATTAGTTGCAGACGACAATGTTCAACGCAAAAGACAATAGACTGACAAAGATGTCTCCACAAATGACAAAATACGACTAAATAACCATTTAGATGTTCAGCGGTTCCAGTGTGTCCGAAAAGATTTGGTCAAAAAACGCCCTACGCTCGTCATCATAAAGCATGTTCTCCTCCAATACAATACAAAGCTGCACAGAGCAAGAATAATCCGATAATATTTTCGCACTCTGTTATTCAATTCATCCCACCCGCCAGATTCAACTGAACTTGCACCAACCGAGTGCTGGGATCTTTTTCGTTAATTCACCCCCAAAGTATTAATTCACTCAAAATAAAAAGGGTTTATATTTGCTAAAAATCACACCAAATTCTTCCAGAGTAAGGCCCTTCTATTGCAGTCCGTTTGGGTTGACCTTTGCGATCGCCCAAAATGTGGGCGACTTGTGTGCGCTATTTCTAAGTGTGGGGTCTGTGTTACTGCTTATTCCCATAAACAAGCCAAAAACAGATTTTTTTTTTTTTTTTTTAAAAATTTCTTGTAAGTACCTCGAATATCATTCGCACTGACGAAATGTGAATAACTCCCTGATTTTTGGTAAATTTTCACTGGAGTAGTTGCGAGTCAAGCTAAAACAAATTTGATTTAAAATTTATTTCAAAAGTGTGCCAAAAATTTAATAAATAAATAAAAAACTTTGATTTAAAATTTATAATTTCTTGGGGTGAATTAATATTTTCGATAAGTAACTTTAATTATTTAGGGCGAATTAAGGTACCTCGATGTGGTGTAATGATTAGCAAGCTTGTCTCTCTCTAGAATAATAACAACTGAGTAGTGAGTTCAATCCTCACTGGTTGCTCCATACTTTCGGCCTTGTCCCACATTTAAGCTACGCTTAGGTGAAAATTACCATTTGGGATGAATTAACAGAAAAGATTCCGAGTTTTGCAAATCCCTTTGATGGTGAAAACATTCTATAATAAAAAAAAAAATAGATTCAAAATTTCATAGAAAGTTTTTTCTAATCAAAAGCAGCACAATTTTGCTCAACCTATATAGAAGAGCTGCATAAAGTCGTTGAAATAATGTTGAATGAAATGTAACTGTACTTTAGTTTTTGAACATTACAGTTGATAAACTAAAATGGGAACTATTTATAACTTGACCTCATAATAATTTCCATTAATATATTCTTTTCCGTTTTTTACGGCTTGTCAACCTTTTTTCAGATTGTAAGAATTTTTTATCGGCCTATACTAATTATTTACTGATACAAGTCCCACTAATTAATCAATAGCTCGATTGGGAGAAATGGATTCATAGCTTTTTCCCAGAGGTTTTTGCGTGTATGTGAATATAACGACCCGGACTGGAATTTCAAGTCGGGTCTCCCAATTTCTCACTCAGAGCCGTTGTCCAGTACACCAACAGGACATCCTTAAAAAAAAATAGCTGATAGAAAAGTTTTTCATTTGAGCACGACAGGGACACTTCGGCGTGGTCCAGTGGTCAGCAAGCTTGTCACGCTCGATGAATTACGACTCAATAATGAGTACGATCCTTACCGGGTGCCCCATATTTTCGGCCCTGTGCTACATCTAAATTACGCTTAGAAAAAAAATGGACACTTCTACGTAGTGTAAAAGAAAGCTTTCTAAGCGCTCACCCATCTTGGTACTGATCTAGGTTGCTTAACTTTGGTGACCATGCAAGAATCGGTGTTTCAACGTGATGTGGCCGTAAGCCCATTAATATATTCTGAAATAATTGAGTTAAATAGATATCAATATATAAGAATCGATTTTATGTTACATGAGATGATGATTATAATAATAAAGAAATTAATCTGTAAGAAACTGGTATGACTATTATCCAGATCGGTTCCGCCGTGAACAAAGACCAGAAAAAACAGAATGTGATTTCTTATTGACATGGCAAACCCTGCAGACTTTAATGCATCTTTGAAGATAAGAATACAAGAATTTTGAAGTGGAAATCTCAAAACGTGGTACATGAGGACATCAATAATTCCAGTTGTTGCTGGAGTACTCGGATTAATTAGAAAAGGTTACGATAGACTTACTGAAGTGATTCCTGGTTAGTCCAGGTCTTAAAGAAATATAAAAAAAATTGAACTCAGAAGTAAAGCTCACACATTACGAAGAGCTTTATCTATATAAAATGTGTGTGATTTTACAAAAATGGTCATTGGAAAATGTCATGAAGTCATTTTAGATCTTAGGTCCCTGGTTGGGACCCGGAAATAAATGTGTATACAACAGAAATCTAAGGAAATAATAATAATAATAATTACCTGTTTCTATAAAAGTTGCCCTCATTTGGGTTTATAAGTAAATCCCAGTACAGTTATTCTCTTTATCTTCAACACCTACAAATATATCTCACTGTATGTCCCGTTACACCTAAAGCTATACAGATCAATACTATAAAACTTGAAGACTGACAATCCACCCTTTGCAACATGTCCCAAGTTCAGATTCGATGACTCTAAGGAACAGAATTAGACTAAAATTTTTCATATTTCGGTCACGAACTTTCTACATCATCAAATTTTATTATGTAAATATGTTATTTGAATTTAACTTATCTGTTGTTATTCTAGTTTATGTATGTTGGTACATAAGTAAAAGTATATAAAAAAATACAAAAATAATAAATACTTAATAAAACAAGACCGTTCGGCTTAGCGGAAAAGAAAAAAATCCGCAGGGAAAAGCTATCGACATTAAATAAGCAAATGGAAATCGCAGAAACTGTAAAAACCAATATTCATTGGCTGAAAACAAAAACGCATAAATAATTCGCAGATTTATTTCAAAGGCTGGGAAACTGGCAGTGAGGTGATCTCATCTGAGATTGGGGGTCTAAGGCCGAACACAAAACCACCCACCCCAACCCAATGACACCAGTAATAAACATCATTGAAGAAGCTTCCAGGCACACGGCCAAGGTATTTGGAATATACAAAAAATTGTTTGGTGGTGTGATTTTTTCATTGTGCATTTTAAGGTTTGGTAATCGTACAGTCAATATATATATATATATATATATTCTACTCGACTCTCCCGTCGAATTCGACGTATGAGTGTCAAGCAGATCAGTTCCTAGGGAACCGACAGCCCGACAACGACACATGAGATTTGATTCTAGTGGTGAATGTTTCGTGCAGGACCATCTACACTTTTTGAAGGGCCGAATGCAGAGACCTGGTGCACTACGTGCCACAAGGTCCCCAAACGACCCTCCGCAGGTTTTGAATTCAGAATTGTCCTTCTCCTAGACCAGTTAACATCCAAGGCTATAGAACCCAGTCTATCCTGCTATTTACCCATAGCTGGAGGGGCGAAGAAGAGGATTCACACCTATCCCAAGGGTATTAGCACGTAAGTGAATGTAATGGATTCGACTGGAATTCGAACTCGGCTCTCCGATTCCTCAATCCAAGCCGCTATCCATTACCCCACCGTGCCTCCTCTTATCATCATGTAGGGGGTATTTCTGCCGCATCCTGTATAAAGATTGAAATGAGTCTTTCAAGAGATACAAACTGAACGCTAAATTTAATGAGAAAAAGTTGTTTAGAGGACAGTATTTTGAATGAAAGAAAGAAAGAAAAATGGAATTACTTCGCTTAGCTCTTGGTGGGGGAGGAGAAAATACAGAGACATGCGATTTTTTTTTTTTTTTTTTGTTTTTTTCGTTTCGGTGAACTTGACGAAGCTAGTCGGAACTTGACATGCTAGTCGGAGAGGAAAAAAGAACGTACGACAAAGGTTGTAAGAGACTAGAAGGTGATTTGGGCATAAGTAGTGACGAGAGACTGAGCTCCTGGGAGAAGCAGAGGAGATTCGAACTACCACGCTCCACTTACTTCGCATTGATAAACCCACTCTCGGCCTCTTTTCTTTTTTTCATTTTTAGCTTTTAAAGCACAAAATCACATCTTGAAACAACCTTATAGAAAATCCTACTCAATTCAAATGGGAAATATAAAACATTAGAAATGTTAAATAATTAAATAAAAATAGTATATATCTATATTTCTGAGTTGAGGTATTATGTACACTATTTAAATTATTCGGACTATAATCCTCCTCTTTGTCGCCATATTTATTACAACGTTTCGGCCTTTCAGTATCTGTCTATATATTGCATTTTTTGTTATTATTATTAAACCAATGATCCGAATAATGTAAATAGTGTACATAATAACTCATCTCAGAAATATAGACAGATACTGAAAGGCCGAAGCGTTGTAATAAATATGGTGACAAAGATGAGGACAATAGTCTGAATAATGTAAATAGTGTACATAGTACCTCATCTCAGAAATATAGACAGATACTGAAAGGCCGAAACGTTGTAATAAATATGGCGAGAAATATGAGGACAATAGTCCGAATAATGTAAATAGTGTACATAATACCTCATCTCAGAAATATAGATAGATACTGAAAGGCCGAAACGTTGTAATAAATATGGCGACAAAGATGAGGACAATAATCCGAATAATGTAACTAGTGTACATAATAACTCATCTCAGAAATATAGACAGATACTGAAAGGCCGAAACGTTGTAATAAATATGGCGAGAAATATGAGGACAATAGTCCGAATAATGTAAATAGTGTACATAATACCTCATCTCAGACATGTAGACAGATACTGAAAGGCCGAAACGTTGTAATAAATATGGCGACAAAGATGAGGACAACAGTCCGAATAATGTAAATAGTGTACATAATACCTCATCTCAGAAATATAGACAGATACTGAAAGGCCGAAACGTTGTAATAAATATGGCGACAAAGATGAGGACAATAGTCCGAATAATGTAAACAGTCTCGAAGCTTTATCCAACGGTTACATTTATTGCTTCTAGAAAATCCACTATATTTTGCTTTACATAATTAGTTACGTCTCATTTTGTTCTACTGTTCGGGGACATTTTATTTTCATTATTGGTTAGAATTTCCCAGATTTGACTCACCTTAAAACAAAAACAAAATGGAATATCGCTTAGCTCGTGGCGGGGAGAGAGGAAGCGACGGCGACAGGTGATTTTTTTTATAGAGATCCTCACGGCAAACCGGGGGGAAAAAGACGAATTATGGGAAGGAAGAAAGTCGTGCTAGTCGGAGAGCAAAAAAAAAATGCCGTACAAAGAGAAGGAGATTTGAGAATAAATAAGAACGTGAGCGAGATCCTGAGAGCTGCTCGGTCTCACATTGACTGCTGGTCTGAAATAGAACAAATACATCGAGTCAATTGCTTCGTCCACCGCAAGGAAATTTAGGGTCCCTGTACCGCGCCAGGAAATTTTTCTCCCTGGAATCGATCCTTTAAATCTACAAACCAACCATTCGCCCTTGCATGGAGTATTGCTGCCATATATGGTCTAGACCCTCTTCTGTTTGCCTCGGGGTTCTTGATAAGATCCAGAGACGGATATGCAATGTAATTGGTGCTGATCTGGCATCTCGTCTGCAGTCGCTCTCTCACAGACGTACCGTCGCCTCTCGCTGTCTTTTTTACAAATACTTTCATGATAATTGCTCCGATGAGATGCTTTTACTGTTTTTACTATTGAAACTGTTAAATACAGCCGTCTCTTCTACTCCAATAGCTTCATATCTCGCACCTCTCGCTTGTGGAACTCCATTCCCTTTTCCTGTTTCCCTGATAGCTATAATCTCCAACTATTCAAATGTAATGTCAATCGACGTCTCCAGATGCCCTGATCTATCCCCTATACTTCTCTTCATCAATTCCTCTATCACTCCTATCTGCTCTCGCTCCAAATCCTCCGTAACCCCTTGCGTGCTAGTGGCTTCCCGCCTTGCTTGGGGTGAAATGCTTTAAAAAAATGCAAGAGATTCGAACCACCTCGCTCCACTAACTTCGCATTGATACATCCACTCTTAGTTTTTTTTTTTTTTTCCTTTTTTTATTTTAAACTTTCAAACCGAAAGGACAATCAAAAAAGAAATTTATAAGCCTGGTAAAAAGAAAAGAAAATGACCGGCTTTAAGTGATTTGAGAAAAGTAATAGCCATAAGCAAGTGGATTTACCAACAAGAATTCAGTCAGAATGCGTACGTCATTCACCTTCGATTCATGACTGACGAGGCAGAATTTTCATTCTGTAGTAGATTGTTTACTAACCAAGGCTATAGAACCCATTCTGTTCTGTTATTCAACTCATAGCTTGGAAAAAAAGATATAGATTCCTATTTTTCCCCGAAAGTTATTTATGTGAAATTGACGAACCCGATTGTAATTCGAACTCGGCTCTAAGCTTTCTTATTCCAAGCAGTTAACTATTTACACGACTCGCGTCTTTTTGAACCTGGTGTTCCGAATGTAAACAATGCAGAATATTAAGAATATTATCTGAAAACAAAAAAAAAAACGAATATATTTATAGAAACATCCCAAAGCAAAACATTTAAATTATCAATAATTTCAAATGTAGAGCGACATTTTAAAGTGACATAAAAGTCTACTTTTGGCGTTGCGAGGCAATGTTTTTGGTTATTATGGGTGGAAATCAAATTTTAAATCCTTTCAATTTGGTGATGATATCAAAATAAGTGTAGAGAATTATTCTAGATTACTGAACCAGACATATATTGAGTAGCACAGGTCACAAGCAAGGAACTTTAAGCTAAAGAGTATATTCCTATGGTAATTGTTCGGATGAACTATTCGCTATGCTAGACTTTTTAAATTTAAACGCATTACTAGATTGAGATCTCGTCAATATATAGTTAAACTAGCTAGATGTAACCGTAAATTTTACGCTAGCAGTTTCTTTTCTCGTTTGTGGAAACACTTGCAGCTCAATCTGCAAAAATTTAAATGCAATGTCAATCGCTATTTACTGCCCTCCTGATTACTCTTTTCTCTTCACGCTTATTATTAATGTCCCTGTTCCTAATTATTCTGTACCTAGTAACCTCTTGTGTCTTAGTGGATTTACTGCCTTGCTTAGGATTAAATCGATTTTTTCAAGAAAATACAATGATCCTTCATTTTCTAAATTTTTTCAAAAACCCTCTCAAAAATAAAGTTTTCAAAGATAGAAAAATTAATAGAATCACCCTTAGTTGATGTTTATCTATGTATTCTGGTTTTCATATTATTTTCACTTGATTGATACTAATTTTGCATTTCATTAGAATAAGCTAAAATACGGTCAAATTGGCAGCTGATCTCAAAAATGACCTACAATCGGTTGTTAACTGGTGCAAGGAATGGCTTGTTAATTTCAACGCTCCAAAAACGAAACTGGTATATTTTAATCGTCTTAGAGAATTTATTTTGCCTTCCATCACCATGCCTGATGCTGACCTCCAGAAGAGTGGCCTCTTGCGCTGACCTTTTCCACTGACATGATCTGGAAATATTATTTTGAATCAATTACTAGGACTGCTGCTAGAAAAATTGGTTCAGTTGATTTTTTTTTCTCGCCCGAATCTATCTTACACATTTATAAGTCTACCATTGGCCTATGCATTGAATATTGCTGTCACATCTGATTTAGTGCATCTGCTAAGTATTTAAAGCTTCTAGATAAAATACAAAAAAAGAATCTGCAATGTTATCCGTCCTGACTTGGCATTTCTGCTTCAGTAACTTTCCTACTGACGTATCGTAATTTTCTAGTGCCTTTTCCAAAATTATTTTTTTGGTAATTGTTCTGATGAACTTTCCACTTTGGTACCTCAACTTAATAATGAAATACAAGATTGGCTCACCATTTTACAGTCAAAATGTCTAGATGTAACCGTAGGTTCTATGCTAACAGTTTCTTTTCTCACACTTCTCACTTGTGCAACTCTCTTCCGGTTTCTTGCTTTCCGGTCATCTACGATCTGTTATCATTTTCGTCTTAATTCCTGTCCATTTATTGCTCTCACTTCTGATTTTTACCCCTTGCGACTTAGTGGCTTTATTGCCTTGCTTATAGTGAAATGATTAAAAATAACTTGGTTATATTATTTGTGTCATGACTTTTGTTTGTATTGTTATTGTTTCTTATTTTTGCTAGTTCATTTTAATTTTGGTTATGTAAATTGGAAATCTTTCGCTTTTATTATTGAGCTACTATCAAATGTGTCATATCAGATGTGTCATATCAGTCAATATGATAGGGTTGTAGCAGTCTTATCAATGTACGATGTATATTGATTTTTATTAGTAGTAATATTAGAAATATAATGTTTATGAACCTTCATATACTACATTGTTTTTTCTTATGATTGGATTATTGAGGGTTTATGTTGCTGTTGTTGACAATAAGATTAGAAATTATTTATAATATGTGTTAAAACCTTTATGCTAACTTTTACACTTAGAAAATGTATACCAATGTATTATATTTTCCATACTGTTTTTTATTTACCTTATAATTGTTTATATATTTATTATTTATATATTTTGCACGAAGGAGAATAAGTTTATTATATTATTTTTCTGTGTTGATATTTCGATATATTTTTATACTGGATGTCCATAAAGTTCGTGTGCACTTTAAAAAATTTATAACTTTATTTGTACTTGCGATAGGAATAATCTGTAAAAAATGTTATGAAGTTTAATGTACCAAGTTTTAAGTATAACTAAAATAACTAATGTGATTTCAGACATTATTGTAAATCAGTTGGCAAATGTTTTCCGTGAACTGCAAAATCGTATTACCCTTTGTATTGCTAATGATGGCGGACATGTGGAAACTTAAATAAAATTTCATTAAAACCTTAAAAATATATAGATTTACTTCTTTCTAATCGTTTTTACAAATTATTTCTATCGCAAATAGAAATAAAGTTATAATTTTTTAAAGTGCACACGAACTTTATGGACACCCTGTACTATTTTAAATTATTGGTCAATTATTTTAGATCACAAAGAAACTTTTCTCACATTTTTATATGTTCCTTTTCTAATATTGCTGACTCTTCTTTCGTTACAGATTACTTGATATCAGAGAGAGTAAATTTTTTATCAGTTTTAATCTTTTAAAATGAGTTTAGATCATACCAAAATCAGACAGTATATACAGTAAAAATTCAAAAAGAACTTTTCGATAATTAAAGCAGCGTTCTGTCAATAGAAAGAAAACTTTAAATATCCGGTCGTGCTAACGATGGTTTGACTAGATTCGATCAGGAAATCTTTCTCTTGAAGATTCCGCTCGACGACCGGAACGACCACGTTCAATCAATATTGAATTAAATCAAACCGTAGGTAAGGAAAATCTTCAGCAAAAACGTGCGAAGATCAACAAATATATTTCAATGCCAGTCACACATCGTTCATAAAAAAAGCTTCACGAACACTGAACTTTCCAGCTTAATATTTATCCTCCGAACAGACTTGCCTCCGAACATTTCCTGGGTAGACTAAATTGCAGTGATAAAAAACAGTTTCACTATCCAATGAAAAGAACAATGGTTAACACCCAATGACAAAAAAAGCGAATATATCCCCAAGGTACGACACCCTAAAAATGTTATGTTGTGTGTTTTCTAGGAACAATGACAGTGTGGTTTATTATAAAGTGCTAAACGAAAAGGAAACAGTTAATGTAAAGGAGTACTGTCATCTGTTGGAAGTCAGCACAAAGATAGTATGGTTGTCTATCATAGGTTAATCGTAAAGGTGTCATTTTCATACCCCATATTGCCCGGATCACCCAAGAATAATTATGGCTCTACATATGGAATATTTTGCTTCACCCTCCCGTGGGTGCACTACCATCTTTGTATCATTTTGAAGGAGAAAACAGTTTATTAATTGTGAAGAGGTTAAAGTTCATATTGAGCGTTTACTTGCAGCAAAAACGTTTACTCCCGATGCGTCAGCAAGCGGCTAAAAAGATGGTTTTATGTTATCGATAATGACAGGAAATGTTATCTTGATTAAATAACAGAATTTAGAACAAAGAAGCATGTATTCCACTTTCATTATCAGATGAGGCATGTTAATTAGAGTTTGTTAAATGTTAGTCGGTTTAATGTTAGCCGTTAATTGTAATTGGATTTAATTGGAAGAGAAAGTAATTTATCAAGACAAAGATGTATAGAAAGTGAATTAAATCTGCCTTATGAATAATGAGGTACATATTTTTTTTTTTCGCCCGCAGGACTAGTTTGAAGATTAGGGTTACGTTTATACAGAATTTTTTTCTGTCTCATTTGGCGCCATAACTAATCTGCAGATTAGTTATGGCGCCAAAATATAATTTCCATAAAGAAACACGTATGCTTGAACATTTATTACAGAATGGGTTTCTTACAAGAATCACACTTTGTTTTACACACGCATATACAGAGTCCGCCCCAAAGAATGTATACACACCCCAGGAAAGGAAGAATTTGTATAGATATTGTAGTACAAAATTTATTCAGACATCACGAGATTAATACAAGTTACCTTTTGACTCTGCAATCATAAGAGATATTCAAAATGGTGGCCTTTAACTTCCAGACATTTATTAGTACAGCGAACTACTGCTTGGACAACGTTGGCCAAAGTGTCAAGTGGGATTGCTGCACATTAATTTTCAATTTCTTGCCTAAGGGCCATCAATGTAGTTATTTTTCTGCGATACACAGCACCCTTTAAGCCCCCCCCCCACCGATATGTAAGCATCTAAAACTACGAAAGAAAAGTTTATCGTTTCCTAAAATGTGTATACATTTTGGGACGGACTCTCTCTGTCTGTCTGTTTCTCTTTCTCTCTCTCTCTCTCTCTCTCTCTCTCTCTCACACACACACACTATATATACACATACACATATATATATATATATATATATATATATATATATTTATATAAAGTATCAGAGATATATCAGGTCGCTGTAACATCAGAATTTATATATAATATATATATATATATCAACATCAGTTGTCAAAATCATGTAACTGCATATTTGTCCATCACACAAAATGTTTAATATCTAAAAAAGAACACTAAACTAATTGAGTTTCTTTTAACCAGGTATTCACATAAGACGTTTAGCCATGTTAACCCCGTTTGTCGTAAGAATCACAGAAAAACGCTTTGAGTCATTCAGCTAGAAAAAGAACAGGTTAAGATCGTCTTATGTCAGCCCCATTGTCTTCGTAACTGAGCAATGATGAGAAGAAAAACTTCATGCTCAGCAATGCTACCAACATTCATACCCTTGTCTACCATCTTCAAAGTCCATTCAAGAACCACCAAGAGAACGGTAAAGCGAGAACAGTAGAGAGGAAAACTGGATCAGGAGGTCACAACAGCAACATGGATCAACCTTTCAACAGAGCTAAAGAGATCGATTAGAAAAGATCCAACTCATTCCACGTTAGCACGTGAGAGAGAAGTTTCAGCTACGACAGCCCAAAGAGCGGTGAAAAAAGACTTGAAAATGAAATCGTAGTGAAACGTGTGAGGCACCTTGTTACTCCAGAACAGAAGGTTAGAAGGTAGTGGGCGATGATTATCTTGGATAAGTTGGAAAATGATCCCGGAATAATATCCATACATTTGAACTTTATATCAATCTTTTATGAGCTTCCGATCCATAGCTATGATTAATGATTTACATGTCATTTTCGTTTATGATCGATTTCATCACGATTCTTCTGTTACGCTTAGACAGTAATTATACATGCTTATTGCTCAAAGTAGAGCCCATTAGTGTTATAAAAACCTCGGAGAATTCCAGTAAGATATCTTTTATCATTTCTAAGATACAACGTTTCAGAGCTTAATCTAACAATTGGACAATTTTGTTGTTACACCGGGCATACACACACACACACACACACACACACACACACACACACACACATACATATATATATATATATATATATATATATATATATATATATTTTTGGTTGGATAGATGAGTTTGTGACCCTGGGTTTCACGCTTTAGCGATCGTCAGACAAACCCAGGTCACAAACTCACACCTATCCAACCAAATATGTTAGCTCTATCTCTGATATTGAGCGCTTAATAAGTACCATATATAATATATAAATAATTATACATATATATTTTATTTATATTTATATACACTTTTCACATATATATATATATATATATATATATATATATATATATATATAATCCAAGTGGATGCTAGTAATATAAAATAATAAAAACGCATCCAAAAAAGAGATCACAATATATTTATTATTACAGAGCAAAAACTAATACACGATAAAATCCAAAATCACCTCATATGGGGAATAAGCTTATTTAACCGACGAAATAATCAAACTTGTCAGTCTTATTCAACCCCGGAATACACTGAGTTCGTGTCGGAATTAGAAATTTAACTTTGAAACCTACAAAAAAAAAAAATAAAAAAAAACGTCGAGAAACTAATACAGAGGTTTTATAAAAATTAAACCCTGATATTAAACTTATGACATTATATTGGGGTTTTATGAAGAATGAAATGTTAATTTGAAACTAAGAGAGGAATAAGAAAGCGTTTTTAAAATTAAAATATAGATAAAGTTATATTTAGAAATACAAAATCATACTTAAAAGTATTATTCCAACAAGTTATATTTAAAAATTAGAGATATACAAATAAGTTATATTTAAAATAAGTTTATATTTATTTTATTTATATTAAAAAGTAGTTCAATGCTCCTGAAAACCTCCAATCTCCCTTGCTGCTGGATGTAGTTTATCGTCATACCCAGGAAAACATTTAACTTGACAAAACTAAAAAGAAATCTCTTTCAAAAAAGAAATTTTTATATTTTCAATATTTTATTTGCGGAAATTTCTTTGTAAAGAATAATTTGTCGCACTTCATGGCTTCATTCGTCTTTTATTGAAATCGTTTGCACAAAGAAAGTCTTCCTCACCGCCCATTCATCAAATTCTTGAATGGTTTTTATCATGTCTTTTGTTTTGTCAAAAGTTAATTATTTTATATTGGAATATGAACTTTCTCTTCAGTAATTATTTAAATTCTAACAACCATTTTTATAGAATGGCATTCATGTATATTGTAGCCGCCGACTGGCAGTGTAATGCTAGAGTAGCTCCGAAAGTAACAACACTTACTTAACTATGTTGGTAGATCAGAGGTAGATGATAGTATGGCAGTAGAAATAAAATTTGCACGCCGATGACATATAGCAGCCGGGCGGCAATCTGACAAAATGGCATCTGACATGAAAGTGCGTAAAATTCAGAAGTTTATCAGGGAATTCCTCCATATGGAATAAATTGCACCCATTAGTATTCACTGAGTCTTACTAAATATTTACGGAGACTAAACAGGTGTAGGGAAATGCGTTTCAGCATGGATAATTTTGTGTGTGATGAAAATGAAAATTGGACAGTAATTCGAACCCAGATCATTACGCATGCGTCATACCCACTGGGCCAACGGGTCTCGGTGGCAAAGCGATAACAAACTAACTAGACTCGATATAGCGCCGCTTTCACAAATTCTGTCGTGTAACTCATCCAAGTTTACTTAGTCCAACGGACTGTGCCCCCACGAGTCACGTCTTCTATCCCAAAGCTGCTCCAACAAGCATTAGTAATTTCTGTTACTTGTATATCCGTTGGACTAAGTATAGATAGATAGATAGATAGATAGATAGATAGATAGATAAAAATACACAGACAAGTTACAATTTTACATTGTACTGAAGAGTGGGATAGATAGATAGATAGATAGATAGATAGATAGATAGATAGATAATTTGTAAAAGTATTTTTGATACACCATTTTTATATATATATATATATATATATATATATATATATATATATATATATATATATATATATGCTATGCTCAGCACATTGTCAATCGTTTTGTATTTAAAAGCATAATGAAAAAATTACGTTAATGGATTACAACGCACAAGTTTGTATAAATACTTGTACTAATAAACAACATATAGTTTTGTACCACTTGCACCCTTGAAGATGATCTTGAAAGAAGATCGAGAGTACTTGGGAAATAAAAAGAAAAGAAATTTAAACAGCTATAGCACATTTCTCTCATCCTTTAACATCAATACACAGAAGGTTATTCGTGAGTATGAACGGATTTTGTTAAAAATTAGCAGACATAATGTCTGTAATTTATTCAATCAGTCTTGCCTAAAAGAGAATTTGCTGCCTAAATACACAATTATATATATTAATAGATAAAAATAAAACACCACTTTCAATTTTACATTGTATTGAAGAGTGGGATAGATAGATAGATAGATAGATAGATAGATAGAGAGAGAGAGATAATGAACAGATTGAGATAGATAGATAGATAGATAGATAGATAGATAGATAGATAGATAGATAGATAGATAATGTACAAACGGTTATAGATAGATAGATAGATAGATAGATAGATAGATAGATAGATAGATAATGAAGAGACTGAGATTGATAAACAGATTTTATTAAATTTCAATGATTTTAAATCTTCAGGACGGTTTTGATTCTATGTTAATACAAAGTAGTTTTCTTTTAAAAGATATATTTCCATCCATTGCTGTATTATAAGTGAATATTTCTCATTATATGTATACAAATGAAACTTTTACCAGATTCTGGCCATTTTCACAACTGATAATCATGTTTTTAAGCAGAATGCCTCAAGGAAAGTGGAAGCGTCAAGACGAACCTCAAAAATGGTCGTACTAAAAATTTCGGCCACCTCATATAAACCAAGTCAGATGCTGTGCTTAAAAACAGAAAAGTATTTATCATGAAAATTGATTATATAATTATATTGCAAGAATCTTAATATTTTCTGTGGCTTACTATAGCTTCAATAATTGCTTCAATGCACCTGGGGTGGGATTCGTTCAAATCTTTCATCATCTTCACACGTACGAGATACAATTCCCTAGGGCTGAGCTCCCACAACTCAAGATCACAGGGATTCTTCTGATGGATTCTAGTCATTAGTTCTGTCAACATTTGAAGAATGATTTCAGTCAGGGCTTTGGCCAATCTTTCATACGGTGACACATTCATCAATCAATCTTTGTTCTGTTGCATCAATGATATGGAAAGCCTTAATGATAAAACCTCTCGCCTTCATACTAGTCTCTTATAAAATGTTCCTTCAGCATCAGAATGTATTTGGTATTATTCAAACTAGCGCCAGTTTTAACCAATTTTCTTGTACAATCTCCTTTTGTACAACCCAAAACTTCGTCCTGAGTAAGACGATAAACTACATCCGCGTCCTAAGACGATAAATTGCGTCCATCAGCAAGGCCTCTTACCAAGAGGTTTTGAGGAGCATGGAACCACCTCTTAATTGCTGATGTTCCCAGGTCCACCCTGACCCGTAATGGTAGCACCAGTTAGGGTCCCAAATATAGGCAAATAATTAACCTCCTGTTGAAACTTGACTAATGCATGGAATAATAATGCAACACAAAATGTACTTAGAACAAAATGTATTGAAACAAGAAAGTGTACACAATATTTACATATAGTCTTTTGTATATTCCTGGTAAGACCGTTCCTGGAGAATGTGTTGACTGAGTCTCTGGTTGAATCTCTTGATTCCTTCCTCTCTTCCCGGTACCAACCATATTTATATGGTCGGCACTCCACTATGCAAATTAGGTGGATCCTACCACAACACCTCCAAACTGGGGTCAACACATTATGAATGTGTAAAAATAGGTTTTAATACCAGCAATACATTTTTGTAAAAAAATTATTACCAACAATATTTTTTAAAAAAAATTATTATCAACAACAAATTATTACCAGCAATACATTTTTGAAGAAAAAAATATTGCCAGCAATAGATTTTTCGAAAAAAATATATCAACGGCAATACATTTTTGAACAAAAATATTACCAGCAATAAACATCTTGTCGGCATTAAATAACCCATTGAGGTTGATATGCCGTAAAACAAACCAAACCAAAACAATCTATATCTATATCTATATCCATTCCTCAAACACCCCCTTCTTTACTCTTGCTCTCATTCTCTGTAACCCCTTGCGTGCTAGTGGCACACCCACCTTGTTTGGGGAGAAAGGCTTAAAAAATATTACCAGCAATAAAAAATCTTGTCGGCATTGAGGTTGATATACCGTAAAACAAAACAAACCGAACCAAACCAATATTTACCTTACAGACACAAGTATAAATAAACGAATTAAAGGGCCAATATTTACCTAATAGACTCAATTATATATAAAAGACCAACTCTTACATAAAGTCTGAATGATAAATTACCAATATTTGCCTATAGACACAAATATATACTAACAACCAATATCTAATGATATGCCGTAAAACAAAACAAAGCAAACTAATCCAAAACTTAACTGTTTTCGTTATATAATGTGGGTTATTAATCTTTCCTGTCGGCATGCTGACAAATTCACTCTTACTCCATCTTGGTTTTATCATTGAATGCGTTCTGATGCCAAGCATCAACATCAGAAATATTTGGAGGCCAATGTCAAACAAAGGTTGTAAGACATTCCAGGAAAAAATGTTTAAATGTGCAATCTTGAAATAGGTTCTTAGAAAGCTGACATGAAAGCCATACCAGTTAATTTTAAGCCTGGGGATGTATGTATCACCTTTCATAGCACTTTTCTCTCCGAAGCAGGAATTGATCACAGAGGATAGTAGACAAGCCCAATCAAACGATATTCATAGTCAGTTTTAGAAGGTTTGTGACAAATTATGTGGGTTAGCAGCGGGTCTGAAGATCAGATGAGAGTGCGTAAGAACCAGATAAACACTAAGACAATATACAAGCCTTTCAGCGACAATATATGAAGGAAAGCCTTAAGTGCTCGATGCTCTCAATCAAAAATTCAAGAGACAGACTTCTTCTAGCAGGAAAGGGTAATTGTAATGGTAGCCGTTCCCTTAGAAAGAAATATTTGGAATTTATTTTTGTTGTCCAATAGTGTACTCAAAAGGGTGAATTATTATTATTATTATTATTATTATTATTATTATTATTACAGATAGATAGATAGATAGATAGATAGGAACAGACTGAGATAGATATGAACAGACAGAAATAGATAGATAGATAGATAGATAGATAGATAGATAGATAGATAGATAGATAGATAGATGGAAACGGAGCATCAGAAATTATGGTGAGCAATATTGGGGTGTGCATTACTACCTCGAAAATCAGTCTACTTGCGTTAACTTCTCATGGTACATCTTACTCATCTTGACCCCTAGAATATTTGCCCAAAATGTATATTCAAGGCATGAGTGGAAAAAATAACATTTTCTTGAACAACGCTTTTTGCCATTCGTGTTTAGACCGCTAATTGCATTGCTTGGTTATTGCAAATTGAAAACGTCAAACGTATTAAGAGTTGTTCAGCATTCAATTGACGCCAACCACGTGACACTTCCGGCGCCAGCCGGTAACATTCACATCAATCAAAAAGGCAGGAAATAAGAAGTTGTTTCTTTTTAGTTTTTTTTTTTTTTTTTTTGTTTTTGTTTTTTGTTTCTTAACGTAAGCCAGCAAATATTGTGTTTCTTTCAGGTGAACAGGACGCATAAAGATGGACACACAATATTTACAATCATCTCAGGAAAGATGCTACAACTTTTTTTCGTAAGTAGAGGGATCATTGAAAATCCGTTTTATGTTTGCTGTAGTGTTATTTACATCTTTCAAGCTCTGCGTCATCGCTCCATGAAATATTGTAAAGAAATGATATATTCTGCTTTTTTTTTCTTTTCAATATTCTAATAAGACTGTATTCCAGATTATCAAAATAGTTTGCTTTGGTTTCTTTTACGGCATATCAACACCTCAATGGGTTATTTAATGCCGACATGATTTTAATTGCTGGTAATATATATATATATATATATATATATATATATATATATATATATATATATTGTTTTCGTTTGGTTTTACAGCATATCAACCTCAATGGGTTTTTACAGCATATCAACCTCAATGGGTTATTTAATGCCTACAAGATTTTAATTGCTGGTAATATTTTTTAAGCCTTTCTCCCTAAACAAGGTAGGTGTGCCACTAGCACACAAGGAGTTACAGAGAATGAGAGCAAGAGTAAAGAAGGGGCTGTTTGAGCAATGGATATAGATATAGATATAGATTGGTTTCGTTTGGTTTCTTTTACGGCATATCAACACCTCACTGGGTTATTTAATGCCGGCAAGATTTTTATTGCTGGTAATATTTTTTAAGCCTTTCTCCCTAAACAAGGTAGGTGTGCCACTAGCATGCAAGGGGTTACAGAGAATGAGCAAGAGTAAAGAAAGGGTTTTTTGAGGAATGGATATAGATATAGACTGGTTACGTTTGTTTTGTTTTACGGCATATCTACCGCAATCGGTTATTTAATGCCGACAAGATTTTTATTGTTGGTAATATTTTTTTCAAAAATTATTGCTGGTAAAATTTTCCCATATATGTATTGCTAGTAATATTTTTTTTTTCAAAATGTATTTCTGGTAATATTTTTTTTTTCGAAAATTTATTGCTGGTAATAATATTTTCTTCGAAAATTTATTGCTGGTAATAATGTTTTTACAAAAATGTATTGCTGGTATTAAAACCTATTTGTCCATAGTTGGGACGCTGACGGGTACTACCATCCCGGTTCAGGGTGAACCTGTGAACATCAGCAATTAGGAGATGGTTCCACGCTTCTCAAAATCTCCTGATCAGAGGCCTTGCTGCTGGATGTAGTTTATCGTCTTACGCAGGACGCGGATGTAGTTTATCATTATACCCAGGACTAGATTATCAAAATAATGACGAACTTCACTGAGGATAAGATTATATTTACTTTATCTTTTTAAACTTTGCTTTTTAAATTAAGGATTAAGATAAGCACCTTCAAGAAAGATTTTTTTTTTAAATTTACTATTTTTACAAATACAATTTCTTTTTCTCTGGCCTGAAATTCAATTCAGATTATTATAAAAACTATATTTTCCTCCAGGTTTAAGAAAGAAAATTTCCTAACATTAATGAAATTGTCGATGCAAATTACAGATCAGGGATACCAAAATAAAACAAGTACAGAAATGTAAATATCTTGGAAGATAACAGAAGGCGTAAAGTGCGACACTGAAATCCGAAGACGTATTGAAATGGCCAAAGATGCATTCCAAAAGCTAAGCAGAGTATTAAGAGACAGAAAAATTTCGTTAGAAACAAAGAAAAGAGTACTAAACTGTTAGGTGATATCTAACCTCCTGTATGCTGAACAATCCCCGGAAAGAAATGTGGTACTACAGAAAGATGCTGAGGATACCATAAACCGAACATGAGAGCGACGACAAGGTTTTTGGAGATAATGGAAACAAAGAGGAAACTTATAATTAACATCAGGAAGAGGCAGTTGAAGTTTCTGGTGCGCGTAATGAGAAAGGAGGGCTTGGAAAGCCTGATACTTACAGGGAAAGGGGAATAGAAGAAAGCAGTGCGTAACATACATGATGAGCCTGAGTAAAGGGATGGCAGAACAGGGTTGGAGAAAAATAACAAAATAACAAAACTTGTTAAGAGCTACAAAGGACAGGAAGATACGGAGGGCCATGATCGCCTACTTCCTGAAGGGACACGGCACACAAAAGAAGAAGAATGAGTTTGGTGAAAGTTATCCAAATCTGAAGTATTACCTGTTTTACATTAATTCTTCGCACTAGTATCAAAGTCATTGTTATTTCGATTGTATTCCGGCAGCTCTGGTCACTTTGGCGTGGTGTAATGGTTAGAAAGTTTGTCTCGCTAAAACAGTTACGACTGAATATGGAGTTCGATACTTACTGGGTACCCCATACTTTGTGCCACAACTAAGCTATGCTCAGTCAAATCAATATATTCAGGCGGCTCCGTTTAAGTCGTACTAGAATAATCAGAAGTTCAAGGCTGGACTATAGCCATTATAAAACGAATTATTGTCGTTTCGGTTAAATCGTTTCAGCCGGTGAGATCTGTGGCATTCCTCAAGTTGATCTATAATCATTAATAGATAATATTTTAGACGAATATCCTGACTTGATCACTAAGTTTCAACTGAGGGACAATCTGGCTTTTCTAGAAGTGTAAGATTAAATTAACGTCTTTTTTAATTAACTTTTCGACAAGTATCTCCATTGTTATTTTGTATCACTAACTTTCGATCGATTGACTCTTTAGCCTTTCTAGAAATTTAAGCTTCAATCATTACTGGTTGAACATTTTAACAAGTATCATCATCTTTGTTATTGTGATCCCTAAGTTTCCACCCGTGGGCTTTCAGGATTTCGTAATCATTAAAAATCTTCTTCATTGTATAGTTGCTGTGTTTCTTACAACCTTTAAAGCTATACGTCATCTTTCCAGGAAACATTGTAAAAAAATGATATATTCTCCTTTGTTTTTTTTTTCAATATTGTCATAGGACTGTATTCCGTATCATGAAAATAAGGACGAACTTCACTAAGTTGAAACTTTTAAAAAACACATGTTGTCCACTACACTAAGTTAGCATAACACAGACATGAGGTGTTTCGCTAGGATCGAACCTTCTTCAAACGTGGTGAACTGAAAAACTAAAAAGATAATTATGACTTCTAATAATCTTGCAGAATTTTTTCTTAATTTTTACCCTATATGGTGCCCAAAGAGCCACTCATTGTAGAGTGTAACTGAATAAGTAAGAGGTAAGCTATATGTGGGAAATTTAACGGCTAGACTTGGAAAAAATACAGTTGTAGTAGTCAGAAAAGCACCCTCTGGAAAATTGGTTCCGTAAAGCAGCGATTCGTGGGAAGAAGCAGAGTGGAACTTCCTCCTTACTAACGGAATACAAAGTGTATGCCGATGATTTGTCTCAGTGTACATATCAAAGTGGTTTTTTTTTATCATTTCGCCCCAAGTAAGGCAATAAAGCCACTAAGATGCAAGGAGTGTTATGAGAAAAATATACTATTAAGGAGAAAAGACAACAAAAGAACAAGATTTAAGAAGAGAGAAGATAACGGTTCACAGGCATTTAAATTTTTGAAGATCACAGTTGACTCTGAAGCAAGAAACCAGGAAATATTTGAATTAGCGAGAAGTGAAACGAGGAAACTGCTAGCATAGAACTTACGGTTACGTCTGGCTATTTTAACAGTAAAATAATGAAACCTTGCCGCCAATCTTGTACTCCGCTTAAATTCATAAAAGTCTAGATATCATAGAGGAAAATTCATCAGAACAATTAACATGTAAATATATTAGAGTCTTAGCTGTGAATGTTACAGTTGATGAAACTAAGGAATTTCCATGGAAATAACGAGTAACGAGAGGCTTATAGCTTTTTGTCTGTGAGAAAGGGGTTGTTGGATGGAAAAGGATTAATCACCCACAAAGCCAGGTAGGTAGATAGTGGGTCGAAGATTACCGACCTTTCATCCTGGAGACGGTAGAGAGCAAAGATGAAGGTGCTATTATGGATAAGTGCCACGCCGAAGCGCATGTACGGGAGTTCGTGTTCCTCGTTTTTGGCGTCCCTACAACAGGGAAACTCGTCCTTGATGTCGGCTCCGAGTCCGTGGCAGTGGCAATTTAGGTGGCCATGTTTTGGCTATAAGAGGTGAGAAGTCCGGGACTCTGAACTCCTCTCGTGTGCATGAAGCACTGATACCTGTTTCAGAAAATAAGGCCTGGTTTAGTTTAGAGAAGGTGTTCCACTTCTGGAAAGTTGGAATATAGACCCCTCACTTTCGTGTAGGAGATGGTATATGTGGCGTTTTGTTTGTTATTTTTGGTTGGGTTTGATAGATTTGTTCATTTGAATTTTGATTGGTTTCATGTGTGCATTGGTTGGTGGAAAACTAGCAGACAGAGAAACAGAAACACCCGCAGGATTTGCATGTATAAATAATTTGGGGAGAATCATTCAGAAATACAGCCGTAGCAGTACCCTTCATCATGGTATCGAGAGGCCCAACCGGAGACTATTGCACGGTTCAGAAATCATTCACAAAATGGCAGTACAGTAGCCTCGATATTATACATCTGCGGATAAGATAGCTTCCTTCAGAGTTACTCGAAGGTTCGGATCCCTGACTATCAGTCGGACAACGGCAAATGCCAGAAAACGTCTACC